TGCAGAACGGCCCGTACTGCTTGCAGAACGGCCCGTACTGCTTGCAGAACGACCCGTACTGCAAGGAGAACAGCCCGTTCTGCAAGGTGGGGAATATAGGGCCATTTTTTACGTCGGATTGTGTTGCTCAGACGTAAATTTACGTCGGACTGGAGGGGGCCCGACGTAAATTTACGTCGGGCCCCCACTAGTCCGACGTAAATTTACGTCGGACTGGAGGGGGCCCGACGTAAATTTACGTCGAACTAGTGGGGCCCAACGTAAATTTACGTCGGACTATGAGACTCCGACGTTAATTCCCACATTTACGTCGGAATGGGGGGTCTGACGTAAATTAGTCTCCACTTATTTACGAAACTGCCACCGCGTTTTTACAACGTCGGTGTTTAGTGTTTGCGACATAAATTGGGTGACGTAAATACCCTTTTTTGCACCAGTGAATGTCAATCTCAAGAAAACTTTTTCTAGAGGTGTGAATCAAGAACCCTCACTCTTTTTAAGACATTCTTATGCACATTAGTATTTTTCAACAATATTATATCATTTTTATTTAATTTATTATTTGTTTAATTCATTTCTATATGCATAAAAATATTGTATTCATCTTTGACTCAACATATCTTGACAAATTGTGTATTTCATGTGTTATCAAATTACTTTTTTCTACTAAATTACATATTTTTCATGAAAACTTGTTTTTTTAGCAAATATTATTATTATTTAATTAAATTAAATCATTTTTGTTTTTATTTTAAATTTGTTGTATTTATTTATGTTAACACTTCTACTGTCATTGTTGTAATATTCGTTATATTTTTTTTTCTTCTATTGCTAGAATTTCTCTTATTACATGCGACTTTTCCTGCTAATTTTTATGAAAAAATCGCAAAAAATGTTGTTTCTATAAATTTTTCTACGAAATTTTATCTGCAGGTAATACCTTCGTGGATAATATATTTTTGCAAATTTTAAAATTCGCAGGAAATTATCCTGCGAAAAAAATTCGCAGGAAAGTTTCTTACAAACTTTTTCGCAAGAAATTTTGCAGGAATATTTTTTACAAAAAAAATTAAAGAAATTACTATTAATTCTATCAATAATTCTTCAACTTTCAAATAGCACAATGAATTCATCCGAAACATTTGTTTCCATGTCTCTAACATGTGATACATAATCTTTTAAATTATAAGATTGTAGATTATAAGCCTAACTCAACCATACAAATCAACTTTTAAGGTAAGTGTTGCCCCAACTTATATACTCTTTAATTGTTTTATCTTCAATCGATGTGAGACTTGAAGTTTTTTTAAAATATTAAACTTATAAATTTCAATATTTTTTTTATTTTTCCTGTGGATTAAAATTTGCAGGAAAATTCGCAGAAAAAGTTACTTGCAAAATTTTTCTACCATTTAGTAAACATTACTTACGAATTTATTTTTGCAAGAAAATAAATAAAATTCTTACAATATTTTTTGCAAATTTTTATCATAGAAAAAAATTTCTATGATCATTAAAATTGTAGCAAAATTTGTAAGAAATATTTGTAAATTATTTTTCGCAAAAAAATTTGCAAAAAAATTCTATGAATATTTTTTTTGCAAGAAAATTCTTAAAAAATTTCTACGAATTTTTTTCCAGAAAAATTTGCAGGAAAATGACACTTTTTTCTAGTAGTATTTTTCAAAATCATTGATGAATTTGACAAGCGTATTATAATTGTTTCACAATCACGTAAGACAATTGTTTACAACATTAATTGTATTTTCATTTGAAAAGAAATGAATTTTTAGTAGCTATGTCTTGTTTACTGGATTTTTGTTATTGCATGTGATTATCATTTATATGTGCCTACGCCTTTCAGTATTGTCGTCTGTAAATAGCTCCAAAGCATTATGATGAAGGCTACTCAAATCATCAAGTTTTACAATTGCTAGTAAATATTGGATAAGTTTCATGTAAATATATATTGGAAAATAATTCAATCATAATTTATTTTTTGCATGATATCATTACATTTAATTATCCAATTATTATCATAGTCATTGTGATAAATGATTGTATTTTGGTATCATATATTCAATTCTTGTAATTAATTACATATAAACATTCATCATGCCACTATTTTTATTTTTTCATGGTAACTAAACTATAAATGGATATGTAAATATTATTTGGCCACATTATGTCAATATATGAAATTGATTTTCTGATTGTTGAAACGTATTATAACCTTCTATAATTTAATTTGGTTGTGTCCTCTCCTTTATTGAATTTGTAAACATGATTGACATTCATGTTTATTATTGAAAATGACTTGGTGTATTTATTGATCATCTCTTTGTCAATATATATATATATTATTTTTATTTTTTTCTTGTTATTTTTTTATTTTAATATATTACAATGTATCTTACCATTTTATAGTACTTTTATTATGGTTATTCCTTTTAGAAATTAATATATTTATTTCTGATAGATAATAAATGTGGAATGATTGATACCAATTTTATAATATTTTAAAAGGCAATAAATTATACGTTTTCACCTTGTCTTAATTGTTAGAAAGATAAAATTAAGGAAAATGATAGAATATTCTGTATGCACGAATTGACTTGGTAATCTCTACTTGAAAATCTACTCAAAATATCTACTTAAAAATCTATTTGATAATATTTACTCGAAGATCTATTAGTAGTATCTACTTGGAAAAATTTATTCAAAAATACCCACTAAAATATCTATTCGATAATATCTACTAAAAATGCACTAAAAAAAATCTATTAAAATTTATAATATTCATTAAAAAAAATTAAAATCAATTTTCACAAATTAAATTAAGTTTACAATGGTTTACTATCTTCGTATGTTAAAAATACCAACTACATTTTCTATATGAATATAACTTCTATAACAATTGTACTGTTTGGGCCTACGACTAATTGAGTAGGTTGAATAACTATACTCCTTATACCTTTGACACTCGAGTCTGGTAGACAAGTGTACCCTCCCAATATTTTATCGAGAGGATCTGTATGAAAGAGTTTTGACTTAACATCTATGCCTTTCATGCTTGAGCTTAGTGGGCAAGTATACCGTGTCAACCTTTTGTTAAGAGGATCTTTACAAGAGAACGTTCTAACTTAGTCTTTTAAGCCTTTCATGTTGGAGCTTGGTGGGTATGTATTCCCTCCCAGTCTCTTGCTAAGAGCCTTTGTATGAGAGAGTGCTTTGACTTAGCCTTATGCCTTCATACTCGAGGTTAGTGGACAAATATATCTTCCTATCGAGAGGGTCTGGTTGAGTACCCCTACTTGTAAAATTGATTGGCATTTATCTGACTAAATAACTATATCTAGCATAAAATGTAGTCATTAAAGATCATGATTAAGTACCAAAATATGATACCTAATAATAGATAAATTTCAATAAAATTTTGAGATTAAAACAAACAAAATATACTTTTAAATATTTTAAGTTTTATACTACAACTAAAATTGTTTAGAGGCGATCCTTCATCTCAAAACAATTTATATTAAAGTTATTCATTTGTTTGATTTAATTGGGTATCATCTAAACTTAATTATGTTATAGCAAAATTATATTCCATTACAAATATAAAGTACTTTTTATATAGTATTCTTAAAGAAAATATTTTATTAAAACTTTCTTATCACAATTCGCGAGGTACTATAACTTTTTTTGGGACAAATAGTAGAATCTTTCTCATTAGAAAAAAAAAAAAGATTGTTCTACCTTTGCTAGGAAGATAAATGAAGAAAGAATAACTTCTTGCCGGTGGGAGACATATGGACAAGAGGTCCCACTAAGTACTAACCAAGGATCTTAAAAAGTTTTGTATCTGCAAATATTTGCAAATGAAATTTGTTGAGTCAAAAATGAATATTATAAATGACTATGTACAAGTATTTTTTTATATGCATTTTAACAAGATAGGCATGCATATCATAGTATTTGTATTGTTGGTACTCATTAATATTTAATTACATATTAAATTTATTTAAACTTATAAGAATTAAGTATTTTAATAATTTAATTTAATTTTTAAAATGAAGAATCTTATTGATAAAATTGTATATAATATTAAGTTTTGACTTTTAAATTATTATTTTTAAATAAATTATTAGTATAAATAAAAATTATTACTAAAGTAATTTTTAATTTTTTTTAAATAAATATCCACGAATATTAAAAAATATGCAAGGAACTCCTTATTAGATACTTACATAGATATAAAATATAAATATGAGACAGATATTTGTCGAATGAGTAAGATGATACTACTTATTATTGACATACTCCTAATGGAGAACATGCATGATTGTTATATTACACTAAAGGAAAAAAAATAGATGTTTGGATCCATGCCTTTCCTTTCACATTTATCTCCCATATCTCACTAACTTTTCTTCTAAATATCATATTATTCATTTCATTTATCGATCCTTCAATTTATATTTTATTTTTCACTTTTAAAAATATAAATTTTGGTTGTTATGATTAATGAATTAATATCAGTTATTGTTGGTACATGTAAGAATTTAAAAATACTAGAGAAATTTCAATCATGGATTAATGATAAAATAAATCTCACACTAATGTAAAATATTATATTTGTTTCAAAATCTTTAGACATATTATAAAATTTTGTTAATTTGATTGAAGGGAAAGGTTCTCAACACGCTTGTATAATTTTTTCTATGGATAAAAAAACAATTTAATGATATTGTTTTATCAATATCACGTATGAAGTCATAAGTTCTAATATTAATGTGATTATTGTATGTCAAAATAGAAACTTACTTTAATTATGATGTAGTAAATATTAATATTGTTTTAAATTATTTTTCATAATATATATTGTTTTTTATCATGTTATTTTATTAAAAATGAGTAGTATGAAAATATGAAGTGAGAGAGTAAAAAAAGGAAAAAGATTGTTAATTGACAATTGTCATACATGCATAAAGTGAGTGACATGAAGGAACAAAATACACAACAAGTGGTATTATTGAGGGAAAATAAGCATATAAGAATAGGACAATGATTTGGAAAGAGAACCCAATGCAAATGCGAAGTGGGCACCACCATTATTAACTAGAGTGTACCACTTTTCTTGTTGCTTTCGTTAGCTTGGGTGCAAGAACCTGACCTCTGACCCAACGTTAAATGCTCATTACCACAAATATCTTGCCCCGCTCAAAACACCAGAGTTTTACCATAACCATAATTACCATAGGTGGGGTGGCCGTGCCAACTTAATTAAACATGCTTTTTCTTTCATCTAATTTTCCAACTACACTACTGTCTCATGTCTCATGTCTCATGTCTCATGTCTCATGTCAATGCTCCAGCTTTCAGCAGCTGGCTAATGGACCCCACACTCGCCCTGTTCGATTCTTCCCTCTCTTCCAATATAAATTCGCCACGTGTCTACCCGTTCCCCGATGCAACCGACACAATCTCCTGGGTTAATTAGCTACGCGCTAAGCTCTGCCGCCACCAATTTCACTCCTCGTTAGTAAAATAAAAAATAAACTCAGCACAGCACTAGTAATTAGTAAATATAAAAATCAGATTTACCTAGTGTATTACCTTAAGTAAACATAAAAGTAGGAGATTAAAGAAGTAAAGCAAGAGACACGTAAAGTAAATAGCGTATTCTCGTTATTTACCCACCAAACGAGAAAAACACAAAGACCAACCACATGAACAACACACGGCAGTGTAACATACATGGTACGAAGTAGCAGTGGGAAAGTGAACTAGTGTTGGTGAGGACTTGGTTCCACTCCACCGCATTCTCGCCATGGATTATGGCGTCTCCAACCTCCGCATCTTCTGCACTCTCCTTTTCCCTCTCTTAATTCTCCTCCAGGCACTACCAGCGTCACCCACGGCTCAGATTAACTCAAACTCAATCCTCGTGGCGCTTCTCGACTCGCATTACACCGAACTCGCAGAGCTCGTGGAGAAGGCCATGCTGTTGCAGAAGCTAGAAGAAACCGTCGCAAACCACAATATAACAATATTCGCTCCAACCAACGAAGCTTTGGACCGAAACCTCCACCCCGATTTCAAGCGGTTCCTCCTCGAACCCGCGAACCTTCACTCTCTTCAAACGCTTATTCTGTTCCACATCATTCCCACGCAAATCGGATCCCAAACCCAAACCCTAGCCCGCCACGTCACAACTCTCTCCAATCAAAACCTCCACCTCGCCGCAAACCTCACCGCCGTCGACCACGCCCGCGTCACCCGCCCCGACGCCATGACCCGCCCCGACGGCGTCATCCACGCCATCGACCGCCTCCTCCTCCCCCGCGCCGTCGAGGACGACTTCAACCGCCGCCGCAGCCTCCGCTCCATCTCCGCCGTCAAACCAGAGGGCGCCCCGGAGGTTGTTATGAGTTATTTTTGTATAAATATATATTATCTCTACAAATTGTCTACTATAGTATGAAACATTCGTCAAGACTTCGTGTGCTTATAAATTTACATTCCACAGGTCGATCCCAGGACTCACCGTTTGAAAAAGCCTCCGCCGCCGGCGCCACCGGGCTCCCCGCCTGCGCTTCCGATCTACGACGCCATGGCTCCGGGGCCCTCGCTGGCTCCGGCGCCGGCGCCGGGACCGGGGGGACCGCGGCACCACTTCAACGGCGAGAGGCAGGTGAGGGACTTTATCCAAACGCTGCTCCACTACGGCGGGTACAACGAGATGGCGGACATTCTGGTGAATCTGACGTCGTTGGCGACGGAAATGGGTCGTTTAGTTTCAGAGGGTTACGTGCTCACCGTTTTGGCGCCGAACGACGAGGCGATGGCGAAGTTGGCGACGGAGCAGTTGAGCGAACCGGGCGCGCCGGAGCAGATAATGTACTATCATATAATACCCGAGTATCAAACCGAAGAGAGCATGTACAATGCCGTTAGAAGGTTCGGGAAGGTTCGCTATGATACTCTGAGGTTGCCGCATAAGGTGGTGGCGCAGGAGGCTGATGGGTCGGTTAAGTTCGGGCTTGGAGACGGATCGGCTTATTTGTTCGACCCGGATATATATACCGACGGTCGGATCTCGGTTCAGGGGATTGATGGGGTTTTGTTTCCGATGGAGGAAGAGGCGGAGCGGGTTAAACCCGTTACCCGGACGGGTCAACCCGCCGCCAAAGTTGTTAAGCACAGGAGAGGTACTTTTCGTTGTTTTCTTTGTGCTTTTCTCTGGATTAGGAAACAGGGGGAAGAGGTGATAGTGATGTGTTTGGCTGAGTGGATTTCATTATTTTGTTTTTCTTTTGACTTTTTCTATTTTATTTTATTGTGGCCGGTTTTGTTCTGGTTTTGGTTAGTCATCACTCATCAGTTGATTGGGTTACATAGTTGTTTTTTCAATTTTATTGTTTGCTATTGAATTTGGACAAGCCAGTTGAAGCCATGACTTGGGATTAGTTTTGGGTGGCCTTGGGGATTCTGTGAGTGGAAGAGTTCAATTGTGTGTTTGGATTGACTTTATGGTGAAAAATAATTAATTACTTTTTCAGGGTGAAGGCAAAGCAACAAGTAGTTGTTTCTATTTTTCATAGTACTACCATTGACTTCATGGTGAAAAATAATTAATTACTTTTTCATGGTAAAGGCAAAGCAACGAATAGTTGTTTGTAGGTTTTCATGATATTACCATGATTTTGGGGGTAGGATTGATATTATTGGTGTTTTCTAAACACTAGAAATGTGATCAATATGAAGTTGGCTTCTTTGGTGGTAGAGGAAAAATGAAGGTGTGTCTGTACAGGGTAAGAGGTTTAAAGTAGAGTTGGCTCTTCAGTTGGGTGTTTGAAATATGTTGATAATTTTAGAAGATGTTGGTGCCGGGAGTAAGTTGTTGATTTGATGAATTAGGAATTAAGGGTTGTTGTTAGAGAAATGAAGGGAATGTGGATTGGAACTAATTCACGTTATGATGGAAGAATCGGGTTATTTGCATGTTATTACAATCAATCAATACTGTGCCAAAGTTTTTGGTTTTTGCCTATTTCTATTATTAGAAATGTACGTTTGATGAAGTATATGAAAGGTGAATCGAAGTCCTTAAACATAACAGAAATTAAGGGTTATCTACTGTATAGATTTTAAGCTAGAAAAAAGGTTGAAAAACGGAAGTCTAGGGGATTGGGAGGTAGTGAATGGTATCAGAGGTTTTTGAATTGTCTTTGATGTGACCTTTTCAGAGTTGAGCAAAACATAGCTGGTGGTGATAGATGTTATGGCCTACCAAATGGTAAATGTGGAGTGTAGACTAAATTAGCTTGCCTAGGTTTTAAATCTTTCCAGTTAAGTCAATGTCCATGAGCTATGAGCCTATGACAATGCATTTATTCATATCTTTACTCATAAGCAAAATGCTTGTGAGCTCAACCTACATTCTTAATTAAATATCTAAATGTACATTCTGAAGTGAAATGATTCTTTTTCTTAGGCAAGTTATACTTCTCTTTTCACATGCCATTATAAATAAAGCAGTTGTTTATCCAAGGCCAAGGCTTGGTTATTTTTTTTTTAAGGTCATACTTTGTAATTGGTCACATGAAATGTCACTTGCAGGGAAATTGCTGGAAACAGCTTGCTGGATGCTTGGAACCTTTGGACAGCATTCTAGATTCGCCTCTTGTCAATGAAGAAATCCACAATTTTCTGGCTAGCATGATTCCTGAAAACAATGAAGTGAGATTACAAATTGTCATCTCATTTACTAGATTATTATCTGATTATTCGCATTTCATTAGGTGTAGTAGTGCTGAATTTTTAGCTTTACTTCAAGTTGTTTATTTACATACTTCTTGCACATGCTTTGATGCAGATCCAGTGGAAATTTCGTCGATGTAAAAAGTAAAAAATGAAGGCCATCTTGCTTGAATGGGGTATAGCCAGCTGCTAGTGGTGTGAATTTTCCCACATTTTTGTTTTTCTCTTTTTTTTTTCTCCATTATTTTCTTTTCGTGGATTTGGGTCCTGGACGAGCGAGCAAAAGCCTTCTTTAGTCTACTCGTCATATCATATAGTGCATATATGTTTAGATTCAGTTACTACTGCTGCTCCAATTTCATAGGTGGTTTGTGTTGCTGGGGGGTACGAAAGTTTTTTTTTTTTTTTTTTTTTTTGTAACCAAACAAGGAATCTTTCTGTTAGACATGTGCCCATTCAATAAGTAATTCTACGGAAGAAATGAATATACCATAATAAAATGATTCTTTACTGTAATGAGACATCCCTTGCCTGGCAACTAATATTTTTATGTTCACAATTTCTTCTGTATCTGTAAGAGAGAGACCACAATATATCTGTGCTGTATTTTAATATCTCTTGCAAGACACTTTTTTTAATCCTTTAAAATGTCATACATTACATAATCAAACATTGGAGTTATTTCATTGTATTAAATAACCGCTATCCAATACGAAAGAGAAGTTAAAGACTTCAAGGGATTCGTTCAATAGTCATTATTTACTCCCAGAAAAAGATGAACAAACAGCTAAACAAAACGTGATTTCTTTTAACAGGGAATTCAAGATAAACTTTGGCCCTGCCGAGTGACATCTGTGAGAAAAATGTAATGTTATTGGTTTCATGTCAGGTTGTAAACTGCTATAAACGGCATAAGAACACTTCCCATCCAAAGTTTACCATCTTTCTCCTCCACTTCACTCACAGCTTTTACAACTTCTCCCTCACTGTCCTCCAATATCTGCAGAAGTTTACCTTCAGGGCTATACTTGACAACTACTGCTCGGAACCTGCCTCCAATTAGAAGCATGTATTGCATCTTTGTTGGAATAGGTAGCTTGAGTATGACTTTTCTCATTTTTGGGTAGAGTGCATTTAGGTAACCATACGTATACCTTCTACTAAAGATAGCCACCCAAAAGTCACCATTTCCATTAACTCTCACGTTGTCTGGAAAACCAGGAAGAACTGCTAAGATCTCTGAAGTCCCAGCTTTATCCCCTTTCAGCCAGTACTTGCGTAACCTTATAAAAATGAAATGTAATATCAATAGAGCAGTTAACTGAATAACATTAGCATGAGCTGAAGAAAAGGACTTATAGCAGAAGTAGAAAGATAAGCTGGAATTGTTTAATTGATATCTGCCAACAATAACTATAAACCAATAAACCGAATTAGTATACATTTGAAAAATCTGCTAGCGTTTTGCACCATAGATGGCTCCCATATGGGAAAGACTCCGCTAACTAAAATATAGAAAGGGGTTATGTGAATATTATTAGACTCACCTTCCAATCATCGCTTCAGAAAAGACAAAGAAGGAACCATCCTTGCTCAAGGAAATTCCGTTTGGAAATTGGACGTTCCTCAAGAGAACAGTGGTTTCTTTAGTGGCAGGGTCGTATTTAAAACCCCTGCCAGTACCCTCACCAGAGAATACCAGCTGAATGAAATTCCTGCATGCAGAATCATGTCAGAACCGACAAAGCAAGCCAGAGATAAGAATATAACATCAATGTTTCAGAATTCTAGGCTAAAAATATCTAAGACAAAAGTTTATTATATCGAAGACCTTATTGACTGCATTATTTTGGGATGCCGTGCAAACAAAGGGATTGTTTAAGCGCAAAATCCATATATTATAGTCATCACTCAATTAAAACTACTACAACGCAAGAAGTCACTATTCAATGACAAAAAAAAAAAAAGAGTCAGTTAAATTTGAAGTTGCCACGAAGCTTTTTAAATTGAAAAAAATATTTATATTAAAATCATTGTGTATGAAATCAAAGAGAGGTACAGGGTTGAGCTCAGATAATTGGCACAATTGAACTCTTGGCTACTATCCATATATATATATATATATATATACACGAGGAGGATCCTTTTATTCTAGGAGTGAGTCTATCTAGATTTACTCTCTTCAATAATTTATGTTTTACGTTAAATTTCAACGATCCAACTGTTTAATTTAAAGTTCTTAATGCATATATCAAATCTGTAAATTTTTAAAAAATTTGAAAATTATTTGATACTTCATTTTATTAATTCAAATTGACGGATAATCATAAAATCATTTTATACATTGATTCAAATTAATGAAACGAAGTATTAAATGATTTTTAAATTTTCTAAAAATTTGCAGATTTAATCTATGCATTAAGGACTTTAAATTGAACGGTTTGATCGTTGAAATTTAATGTAGAACATGAGTTATTAAACGGAGTAAGTCTACTCCTGGAATAAAAGGATCTCTCTTCCATATATATATATATATATAGGGAGCATATTAAGTGAGAGAAAATTTATTATGAGAGATGAGAGTGGTAAAATATAACCCTTAGATTAATCAAGTGAGAGAAAATTTGGGGTTTAATCAAGTGAGAGGAAATTAATCTGAGAGTTATATTTTAACCCTCTTATCTCTCATAATAAATTCCCTCTCACTTGATATGCTCCCTATATATATATATATAGATAGAGAGGTTCAAACGACACCGGTGTAGCTTTTATTAAATATTACACCGCTCAATAACTTTATCTTAAATATTAATTTTATAAATTCAATCGTTAGACCGAAAGTTCTTTACTTTTAGATCATATATATAAAAATTTATATTAATCCAAAATGATTTAATATTTCATTCTTATAAAAACAAAATTGACATAATATATACATTTCAAAATATAAAAATATGAACACTTTGATTACCTTCAAGTTGTTGTTCAATTCTAATAAAATTTGATATAAACATATAAAGTGATATGAAGTTATAATTTAACAATTGAATTTACAAAATTCACATTTATTATAAAGTTATTGAGTGGTGTAATACGTAATAAAAGTTATATCGGTGTCGTTTGAACCATCATATATATATATATATATATATATATATATATATATATAGAGAGAGAGAGAGAGAGAGA